TGGGGAGTAGGTTCTTGATGGCGCCCCTTACCTGTGTGACCTGAGTAAGTGTCTTACTGTTCTATGACTGTTTCTTCACCTAAACTGGGTATAATGTCAGAAATACAGAGGGTGACTGTGAAGACTGAACTAACTTACGAAAAGCTCTCAGAACTGGGCCTAGTATACTTGTGTCATCATGAGTGCGGTGGGAATGGCAGGTTCCCAATTTTAAAGATAAGGACAATGAGGCATTAGGACTTGTATTAAAGTTTCAGTTTAAAGTGGTAGAGGCAGAATTTGAACTTGACTGCAAGTGATTCTAATTATAAATTACACTGACTCAGAAGTTAAAAAAGGTGGTGGGGGAGTACTTGGACTTTAACCCTATCCTCAAGTCACACAAATTAAGGATATTTACAAATGAAACTCAAACAGAAGAAGCAATAAAATCTGTAGTTTTATTCTTCAGAAGGTTAGCTAACTAGGTAGACTAACTAGGTAGCAAGAGAGGATCCTAGAAACATTCTGTTAAGAAAAAATAAAATCTCTTAGCTCTAGCTGGAAATCAGACTCGTCCTAAGAACCGGACTTGTGATGACTGGGCTTTATCTTTCGATCTCACTTCTGATGTTACACCTATTTTACCAATAGCATGTAATGACTGCAAAGAAATTAGTAACTTTCCAGGGTCTCCCTGGTGGCACAGGGGTTAAAGTCAGTGCTACCAAGCTATCAGCAGCCACACCCTGGCCAGCAAGCTGACCCACATGGCACAGTGGACCTCACCTGTCTCACCCAAAAAACACACATCCACAAAACCTACATCTCAAACAGAGGAAGGAGTGTGTGATTCACGCAGGAGAAGCATAACGTGAGCAGGCACCTATGCGCCTAAAGGGGCTTATTAAGACTCAACTGCAGCACACCAAGGTTAATAAAGGGTTTATTTACAAAAGAAGAGGACACCCAGCCTTGTTTCCGTAGTGTAGTGGTTATCATGTTCGCCTCACAAAAGAAGAGGACATGAAGAATTTTGGGAAAAAGAGGAGGAGGTAAGTTGGTTGTGGTTGACACAGCTATGCAACGTCTATCGTCTGACAGATTCCGGGTAGATTGGGAAAAGCTCTGAAAAATCAGACTTTCCACTGCGAACTTATGTTATGACCTCCCTTTTTTGTATCATCGTAATATCAAAATATTCTGAGCAACTTTCAGCTTATAATTGGATTACCTCAGCTGCAGAAGGCCTGCCTGGCCCTGACAAGCAAGCCCTGCACCAGGGTGAGAAATTCCTCTGAAGTCAAAAGTGACTTGACAACTGGCTGATCAATAAAAGCAAAAGGGCTGTTTCTGCAAAGTCTCTCACAGCTGATGGAGGAAAACCCAAATCTTATCATTCTACTATCTCACCTAGCCTTCTATTCAGCTTCTAAAGAATTACTCAAACTTCCTACTATCTGGCCTTTAGATGTGGAAATTCATCCAGGTTGCCTGTTTTAGAGCTAGCCAGGTTTTCTAACTGCTACACTTCAAAGGAATTCACAAAAGTCTTCTGGCTAGTCTTTCAGGATTCTACTATCCAGTCTTTAATACGGAAATTCACCTATGTCTCCTATTCAGAGCAAATTACGCTTCTACTGTTTAGACCTCAAGGAAACTCAAAAACCAAGGAAACTCTACTGTCTAGACTCAAGGAAACTTAAAAACCTTTTAACAAGTTTTTTCAAAGAACTTTTCCGAAATTTGATTTGCAAGAAATTTCCTCTTCCTGCCTCCCAGGATGTCTCAGGTAGAAAAAAAAAAAAACCCATTATGTAGTAGATAAGGTTTAAGAGACTATTTTAAAATCTTTTTTTTTGTTGTTAGATTTATTTATTTATTCATACAGAACTAGGGTACAGGCTAGAGATGTGGAGGGTGAGAGGATTCACCAGGGACAGAGTGGGGAGCAGAACAGGAAGATGGACGAAGTACACTGCTGGGGGGAGCAGCAGGCGGGTCAGGAGAGGTCTGCCGCTTCATGTGGTCACCTCCGGGGCAGGCGGGGTTCGAATTCATGGGGAAGTGGCTTAAGCTTCTTAGTGCAGGGCTTTAACCCGCTGCGCCACCAGGGAGGGCCCAAGAGACTTTATTTTAATCAATCTTCACTATAGTAATATCAGTCTTCAACTTTGTGCATCTATGTACCTGTTTTTAACCTTGATTGATTTTAGAATGTTATAATCTCAAGTAAAGGTCAAAACGACCCCAGACTATTCTTAGAAAAAAGGTGATTGTGATCTCAGCCCATTTCATATGCTAATGTCATCCCTCTGCCGGCTTGAAGTGTATAAAATAAACCTCTGCTGAAGGCAGAGCAGGAAGACTTGCACCCAACTCCGACTCCCGTGTCTTTCTCACTCCCACTCCCCCCCTTTACTCCCCAATTTTTGGAATCTCTGCTCACTGACTCGTTCCCACCTTGAGACCCTGCCTGTTCCGCCCCCCAATAATCCGTGATCAGGGGCAAAGTCTCCGACAGTTGGTGATGATTCCAGTTCTGCTGACCTGGAACCCCACTAGCATGCTGAGGGGTGGCGAAAAGCTGTGTCAAGCACCAAGCCAAGAGGCCAAGAGACCCTCCAAGGCCTACATGCGTGGTTTTATACCTAACCTGGCTGCTTAACTCCACCTCAGGTCCCAGCAATTTTCCCTTGGTGATGGTGGGTTTTGTAGTTCCTGACTTAATCGCAGGTCTGGGGTGGGGGTGGGGTCCACACAACCTGCACCTGTTAGTTAATTCAGGACATCCTTACACCTAACAATAGGAAACAGGTGGTGAAAAGATAAAGGCCCTATTTTATGGAGTTTAGGCCTTGAGCAGGCTATTAAGAGAAGTGGTGAAGGCCTACTTTCGGTGACTACGGAGCTTTCACTGTGTCTTTCAGCTATTCCATCTTTCACTGGAACACTAACCCTTGAAACCCACACCACAGTGAGGAGTCCTGACAGCACTGACTGGAACCATGAGGGTCTCCCTCACTTTCTCAGTGAGGAGTTCCTCCCCCAACTCCCAAGAGTGGAGACTGGTGTCAGCAGTTAACACATCTTATTGACAAATATGCAATTCTTCTCTCCAAGAGTCCCCAGGCTTCTTCAGGGAAGCACCAGTCAGTGGTGTTTGGTCAGTGGTGCCTGGGAGATGGTGCTCACTATAGCATTCCACAGATGCAGAGGGCACTCATGAGAGCAGTTTCAATGGTGCTGAGGGTGGAAGACTGGCTGCAATGAATGAAGGAGTAAACAGAGAGGCAGAGCTTGCTTTTTAAGAACCCCTAGAAAGGAAAAGAAGAAACTAGTAGTTTGATCCTGTGATCACAGGAAAGCTTTCTATTTTTTTAAGAACGACATGAAGGTCTGTGGGTCACGTCGCACGGCACAGAACAAAAAGCAGGGGTGCAGGTGGGTTTGAATTGCTGGTCCCGTGACCACTGTGCAGGCAGCTCACTTAACCTCTATACCTTCCACGTAACCGCAAGTACAAGACGGGACACCCCACCTTACTGTGACTAGCACAGCTTTTGGCAACAAGACATTCAGTAAGTGGAGCCGCGACTACAACTGCATGAGGAAGCCTGGACGCTTGGTCTGACCCCTCGGCTGAGGTGTCCGGTTTTCCTGCCCCAGGCTACGTGTAATGGGGGATGGCAAAGAAATAGGGTCCTATTTCTTCCGTCTGACCGCCTGCACAAGCTCATGAATGGCAGCTGTGGAAAATTACCGATGTCACCAACGGAGACAATCTGGAGATTAGGCAGACGGAAGTGATGTTAAATCAGCAAATTCTGGGCTCTTGCCAAAACCCTCCGTGGCAACTAAGAAAAACTGAAAACGCACACACTGGGGACGCTTCAAGTTTCCAAGCCAAAGGCGCTCCCACCAGAGCCAGCGCAGGACAGGCGGCCAGTGAGGACAGCCTGGCCTCCAGGCTCCTAACCTCACTCACCCCTTTCTCTCAACCGGCCCCGTCCCCGAGTTCGCCCTTTTGTTACTGGACACTTCTACCGCACCCTTTAATGTCCTGGTCAGCCATTCACCTGTTGCCCACACCTGCGTCCAGAAACGCCAAGTGCCGGACCCCAGCCCCACCCCAGCGTCCCAGGGGTCTGGGAAGACGCTGAAGGGGCCGTGCCGGGAGGCTCCGTTCACTGCGGACTCCACGGGACGCAGGGGAAAGCCACCGACCTTCTGGAGTCAGTTACAAACTCATCTCGGAGAACGACACAAATACGTGAAACTAAGAGACGCAAGTCTTCAGAGTCCCAGGGAGAACCGCCAGCGGAGACGGGAGGAAGGGGAGGGAACACACGTGGCGCCCAGACGCTACATCACAAACAGAACCCCAAGCCGTCGGGTCGAAGCTGAAACCCCTCGTCACCGGAGTCTGCTCAGGGCTTGGCTGCACCAAGCGCGAGAAAGGGCCCGCCACAGGCCCACAACGCCCACGACCCCCGGCACGAGCAGCCCGAGCGGGACGCCCCGCCGGCTCGCGCAGAAACGCCCCCCGCAGCGCCCGCGAACCCCCCGCCAGGCTTCTCCAACTGCGGGACTCGGCGCGCCCCCACCCTCGCTCTCCCGCGAGCCCAGCGCCCGCCTCGCTCTCCCGCGCCCGCCTCGCTCTCCCGCGTCCAGACGCAACACTCTCACAGCGCCGGCCAGGGCCGGCCCGAGCAGCCCGAGCGGGACGCCCCGCCGGCTCGCGCAGAAACGCCCCCCGCAGCGCCCGCGAACCCCCCGCCAGGCTTCTCCAACTGCGGGACTC